CATCTGCTCTAGAAATTTCCGTTTCCACATTCTCCTCTTGTCGCTCGAGGTTGCGCACGCCACGCCTGGTCCGCGGAGGCTTTCTGCTCCACCGGCTTCAGACAAAGTTACCATTAACTCCCCAACCTGCAGGAAAATGATTGGACACAAAGGATTCCAGAATGTCCTCCTCTCCCCTACAAGCCACAAACAAATGGTACAGGAATGAGGTCAGAAAGGGATCCCCCGCCCACGGGCCTCTGAATTCATTTACCTACCTCAGAGCCCATTCAGAGGAAGGGGTGGGACGGGGAACAAGGGCTGCGTGGAGGCCAAGTGGAGTTTGGGGGTCGAGCGCTACATTACAGGATTTGACAGGCCTTTGCCTGCCTTCAGCTTCTTTGTGTCTCGCACATAATAGAGAAACACAAACTGAGCAGCACACGATCTGTGGTTACACCCTTGGACAGAGCACACTCTTTGCAAATGCTAATAGTATTGTAGCATCCTGTCACCCGGGGAACACAAAAAAGGATGTTGATTTTCACATGAACCAGAACAGGCCCATTGTACACAAGTTTGTGACCAACTTGTAGTATCTGCACATCAAAAGCACAGCCAATCACAGGGTCCGCAGCTGGCGAACCGCACCCTCGGGGGCGCCCAAGGGAGAGGATGAGATCCAAATGCCTCATCCACCCAATGTGGTGACCAAACAGTGCTTCGGACGTGAGTGGAGCTAGTCTCACAATCCCGAGTCAGCCATGACCGTAGCATTGGTATAATTAGCAAGGACGTACATGTCTCATATTAAAGAGAAATCTCAGCGTGTGAAAAGGGGAGTGGCTTTGTGTGCCTGCCCAGAGCCTCCAGAGTGGTAGAGGCAGCAAAGGCAGGGCTGTTCAACTGAGCTTCATATGAGGATGGTCCGATCCACGGACAGGTCAACTCATGAGAATGTTGGCCGGAAAGTACCTATTTCCATCCCAACAGTCTTGGGAAACTAGCTCTCAGGGCAAGATCATTAAATAAAGAACATACATGATCTTGAAAATAAATTGAGCTGAAATTGTAAAGGCTTCTGCTCATTGTTTTCAAGTGTTAAATTTATTAGAATCAAAAAGGCCATCAAAATTGGGGAAAATAACATAATCAAGGTATTAAACACTGGGGTAAAAATAATTCTGTATCTTAATAGCGGGGCTGATTCCAAAAGATTTAGAGACTCTGCGTAGGTCAGACGGGAAAGGTAACACGACGGACATGTTGAGGAAAAATGGAAAGTCCTCAGAGTTTGTACTGCTAGGACTTAAGGTCTGGGGTAGTCCTGAGATCAGAGCCCCCTGAACCTCAACTATCGCCCTGTCCTCCAGGGCCCCACAGGGAACCTCACACCTCTGCTATTTCCATTCTTGTGAGCAACAGCCTCATGTAGTTAGAGAAACCACCCTGGGCCATGTCCATAAAGTTAGCTCATTTTGCATTTTCCAGTGTATGACTGCACTATTTATTTTCATAAATAAATTCATTTTCCTAAAAGTATTTTTGAGGGAAAGTGTTTTGGAAAGTGCCTAGGCTTCCAACCAGACTTGTGATGAAACTTAGACTTTGCTGCTCACTAGAATGACCTTAGACAAGTTACTTAAAACTTTTCGGAGCCTTTTTGCTCATCTATAAAATGGACATAGCACTGCCTCGGGTAATGGGTGCAAAACACAGGACACACGGTTTTGCTCTAGAGCAGCGTTTTTCAACCCTTTCATCTCACGGCACACATAAACAAATCACTAAACTTCTGCGGTACACCAAAATATACATTTAGTGATCTGACCAAAAAAAAAAAATTGGTGTAATTTTGATTATTTGCACCAGACAGCTATTGTTGTGTTGGCTGTTGTCATTTTTTAAATTTGACAATCTAAGGGGAAAGAGGTCAGTGTCCCAGAGTAGTTATTGCATGTTCTAAACATTCTTGCAGCATACCAGTTGGAAATCGCTGCTTTAGATTTAAGTTCTTTTTTCGAAATTTAAAAGGAAGACCAACACAGTTTCATGGGATCAATCCTTGCAAGACAAGAAAAAGGCTTCAGGGCAATTTCTAGATGGATCCCAAATGCAAATGGTTAGAGACAGTACACGTCTATGAGTCCTACTAGGACCGTTATAACGGGCCCTTAGTTAGGTTACTATCCCTGGAATGGCTGCAGACAGGGGTATTGAGCTATAAACCTTTTCTTTCAACACACATCAGGGACCGCCTCCTCCTGTGTGTTCCTCTTGGCGGCCGGGAGGCGGGCTCACTATTGTCACTGTGTTCTCAAGGCACAGGTTAGGTGACTTCTGGTTTTTACTGTTAGAAACTGGTTGTAGGAAGCAGTTATGTCCACGTGGCACACAGGGTATTGGCTGTGCGTCATTGACTGCAAGTGCAAGAACTTTCAACTTCAGTCCTCTTGACAAAGACATTGCTCAACGGAGAAACAGTAAGCATCGCATTGTTAGTCACTACCTATGTTAAGATGCATGGAAAAGAGATTACAAACCTTAATGCAACACAAACTAAGGGAGCAGAAAAATGGACAGGTTCAGCCGTCAGAGGTAAATTAACGTCAACGTTTCCTGGCAGCTGAAGCCAAGGAACAGGTAAGGTCTTGGGTTCTCTCACAGAAGGAAAGTAGCACATGTATTTGTCTGGAGCAGGAAACTTAGCTGTCACTGAGTTATCTAGTAACACGTTCCTCAATGAACTTAAGTGATAACAGAAACATGTCATTAGGTTTTGCATCTGCAAAAGATACTGTGTATTTTCTTCAAATAGGTACAATATACAGTATTTGTTAGTGAAAGCCAAGGGCATGATATTAGATAAATTAAGAGGCAGGCAAAGGCAAGTCCAGGCTGTTTCACTTTCTGATGTTTTCGCTAATTCACAGAAAAACTTTAGCAAAGCAAGTAGATGGAGTTAACCTACCTTCTCACAAGTGTTAGAGGCTTAGGTGCCAGGTCATGTAAACCATGACCATGTTTCCTGACACGTGGCTACATTCTAATTCCTACTTTGTTGCCATGTGATTCAGTCCCTCCGACAGTAAGCAGCAGAGTGGACACAGATCCTGGGGAAGGCACACCCACATTCTGCCTCATTTTACACATCAAATGGTCAACCAAGATTAATAAGCATCATTTATGAGGATAGTTCTTGGAGGAATAAAAAATGAGAAATGATAAATGGGATAATCAGGTGGTAGATAGATAAAGTGATCTTCAAGGTTACGTGCCATTTTAAGACTTAGTTATGACTTTTTAGTAAGCCTCACATACAACTAATTGAGCATGTTGGCATCATTAGTGAAAATGATGGCAATAGCAGTGCAATGTAATTTAAAAACATTTTGATATATTTTACCTAAAAAACAAAATGCTTTGACAAGTATCAAGACATAAAAAAAAAAGGCACTGTTTGGTCCTGGCCACTGTGGGTCAGTGGTTAGAGCATTGGCCCTCACACCAAAGGGTCACAGATTCGATTCCCTGGCCCCAGTCCGGGTCCTAGCAGGAGGCAACCAATCGATGTGTCTCTCACATGAACCCCTCCCCCCACCTCCTTTCCACTCTCTAAAAATTAGTGGAAAAAACATCCTCAGGTGAGTTATCAACAAACAAATGAAAGGTATTGTTTGACTGTGAGATTCTAACTGGGAAGCGTGAGACACGTGGAATTAAAGTGTCCGAGAACAGCCACACTGAGGGGCTCGTTATACCATGACTTTGGTTACACTGTGGGGTCAAATTGTGACCATGGGTGCAGAGGTCTCTCTCTCTCTTCCCCCCTCATTAAGACAGAGAAAACTTAAAAGATGCTCTTTAGATAGTATCTTTAATTACTAATCTACACAAATGACCGTAGATCAAGCACAGGCAAAAGATAAATGGGAAGAACATCTACATGGAGTACGAAGGCTTTAAAAAATAATACAAAGTTCACTCGCAGCGCACACGTAAAAACAGGTTGTTTTAAATATTTAAACATAGCCATGATTGTCCACGAGCGTATCTGTGAGCACGTTTCCACACCGCTCAAGCGCCTGCCACTGCAGCCGGGACCAGCGTAGACACGTGAGACAAAAAGCATCACTTTGATCCCCTTTACTGGTAAACTAACACACCGCATTCCTTTACATGGATGCATCTAAAATAAATAAATATACAGTTATTAACTAAATACGGGATTTATCTTTCAGAGCTACAGTCAGTCTCATCGTGGCGTGAGATTCCCAGACTGAGCTAGGAAGCCGCACTCGGGGCACCACTCCCTCCTCACTTGTACTCTCTCCGTCTGCACCGCTGGCTGTTGGGAGGAGTCTGCTGGAGTCAAGACTGGGAAATGGGGATAACACAGAGAGGGGAGGACACAGTTAAACTAGAACAGAGTTAACAGCAAGGATCTGTTTCCTGTTGGGCACGGCCTCCACAGACTGGTTTTCACAATGATACCTGACTGAGTCTATTTCAGATATAATTTATTTACAGTTGTTCAGTCTTCCATGGAGAGCTTTGTTCACGCTGTTCTTTGCAAATCCCAACATGGAAAACAAATAATTCCTGGTCTAGTTAGAATTTAACTTCTGGATGCTGGGTTTCTGAAGTGATTTGCTTAAATCGGCATCGTGTCATTTCTCAACTACAGACACCACACAGAGGACTGACGGATGAGAAGCTGCATTTCACTGTTTCTTTTATTAACATCTGCTTTTAATAAGTACCTAGCTTTCCAAAAACAAAGCATGCTTAGTATGGAGCAACAAAAAAAGAAAAAATATTTATTACCCATGAGATGGTATATTACTTAGGATGGGAAAATTTAATAGCATTCATTTTTATCATCTATTTATGTATTTAAATTACAAATACTGATCTCAAAGAAATAAAGACATCCCACCCCTTCTTTTTATTTATTTATTTATTTTTTGGTACGTGTCCCTAGCGGGAACTGAACCTGGGACTCTCTGGTCCGCAGGCCGATGCTCCAGCCGCTGAGCCAAACCGGCCAGCGTCCTTTCTTAAATTTATACAAAGGGATGTGATAAAAGTCCTTACATAATATTAGCCTTTTGCTTGGGAAAAATCAGTGGAAATGCAATTGAGGGCATTTCCCCCATCTAGAGCTCACAGAAATAAATATAGTTCTATTTCCTTTTTGATTCAGAAATAGATTTGTATTTGTAAAGTGGTTGTGTTTAACAACTGCAAAAGAATTAATAATTGCATGACGTCTGCCTCAGTGCGGGGTTAACCCACTGGCCAGCACTGGTCGGAGGGAGGTAACCAGGGAGGTCCTGTCCCTGGGGAGCTCCCTTTCCTTTCGCCCACTACCCCTGAGTCTCAGACAGGAAATGCTCTCGACCACTCGTCTACCAAGCACCAGTGCACCGCGCCTGGCTGCCGAGAGCTGGGGCTGCTCACCACCCAGTGTCAAGCAAGCGCTCCCCGGGCTCACGGTGCTGAAGCAGGTTGTGACAGCCTTCACACCTGCGTATGCAGGGCCAGACCTCAAGAGAGACCACAAAGAAGTATGTATTGATGTTAAACTTTAAAAAAAAATAATGCTGGGTGGCAAGGAAACTGTTACCAAAACATAATTCCAAGAAATTTGTAAAATTAAGTAAATTGTAAAATAAAAACTGTCACACAATAGGCCTTTATATTAGAATAATAAAGGCTTAATGAAAGGGCAGTAGAGAGCAGAGTTAATTGAGAAAGACATTTTAAATTTTAAAAAATGGCATATTTCTTTGCTTTCAAGTCCTTCAGCCAATAAGAAATATTTATATAAAACATAAAAATTCTGAGGGTATTATTGTAGTTGAATTGCTAAATTAAACTCTGAATTTTTCTTTAAATGTTCCGGTAAGAGGGGGATGCTCAATATTATTCTAGTTGTTGAAATAATTTCTATTTAAATATAGTCCCATGAAAGAGAGCCTTTTCCTGATGCCTAGTTAAAATGTTTGACAACAGTCTAAATGTAATCAGTCAACTGATTATTCTTAATCTTTCCTGTCCTGTCACAATCCAATAGCTTTGTCAACAGGTAAAAAAAAACCACTGTTAGTAGAAAGCCTAGCTTAAGTATACAACATCCAAAATGAATGAATTTCAAATGGATACGAAGAGTACAAAAACATCAACTGAATCAAATAGGTAAGCTGCTAATGACTCAGCTTCTAAGGCAACCCTGTAAGCTGTCAATGGAGGGTTGAAATCTCTTTCACAGAATGTACGTGGAATTGCTGTAATCCCAATCACCCAGGTGAGGGGTTCTTTTATTTGTTTTCTTCATGTGACGAATATGAACTGAATTATCATGGTTTCTGGATACAGAACCTTATAGATACAGACAACTTAGCGGGTTACCATCCTTTTATATACAGGTGACAGCTTTTAGAAAATTGCCCTAAGTTTTATTTCACAACACCTAGCGTTCTTTGTCTGGAAAAGAAGCTGACATGGAGCGACATCAGCGAATGTACGAGCTGAACTGGTGCCACCGCGCATGAGACAAGCAGGAGAGCAAGCTTCTTACCTTTAGGACTGACCCTAATGGTCATACCACTTACATATCCCACCTGTCACTTCAATAGAGTGAAACAGGACGTCAACGCCACTTGTCCTGCTCTAGTCCAAAGGCAGCTGGTGGTTAAAGTGCCTCTAACACACATACATTATTTTTATCCTGTGACTTTATTTTATGTTTAGAAAGGTGGGATAGAAGAAGGAAAAAAGGCAGGACAAAGGACTTTGGAGCTTTCTTTCTTCGATATATGCAGGGGTGATGATATTAGGAGTAGTATTCTGTAAAAATAAACACATTTGATAAGTTTAAGTCTGGGGAGACATTACTGCATGACCACAAAACTACTGCCTAACTTAGGAAGCTTAACTGTCTAAGTTTGCAATTTGCTAGTTATATTAAATTTAAAATACCACCTACCATAATTTAACAATTTCATCAAACATGATATATAAATAAATACTGAAATTCATTTCTGAGAGGAAAAAAACATACAGGGGTGGCAAAAGTAGGTTTACAGTTGTCTTTTTTGAAAAGGATACAATAATTAATAAATAATATACAAGAATAAACTGTGTTCCATGTCCTCACAGCTGTACACCTAGTTCTGCAAACCCCTGTAGTATATTAAAGCTGACCAGTGGAAGGATTCTGTGTATTGACTATGTTGGGTATAAACATTTTCAGAATTAGGTACTCACTCCACACGTTAAAACTATCACTGAGAAACTATTCCTTAAGATGCTTGGTAACTTTTATTAAATGATCAGAATGAAGCAAGGCTACTGTTTTACCAGATTTATTCTTTTATGTGGATTTTCAAGGTATATTAATATCAATCTCTTTCCTAATTCATGGATATTTCTAACAGTTCACAGTCATACTTCCCAAGGGATGGGAAGGACCTTGGAGACTACAGACAAGTAGGGAACGAAGAAAGTTGGGACGGTTTCCCTGTACACAAACACCCTCACTGCCGGGCTCCCTGGATGGCCCTGGCCTGCACTCGGGACAGGCTCTTTGGCAGAAAAAGGCTTGTTCCAGCAGCAGCGGTAACTGGATGTCACACTAACCATCTGAGGGAAGGGACTATTACGTAAAGCACTGGCTGACTTTGGGCTTTCTCTTTTCATTAAAACGATAGCAATGTAGCTTATATTTTTAATAGGGTTTCTGTGATATTCATGACTTCCTCATCCCCCCAAAACACAGATTTGTAAACAAAAAAAATCAAGTGAACTTTGGTGCTGAAGAGAATTTCTAAATTAAGAAGGCTGTCAAAATGTTTATCTCTAACATTAACTATTGCTAGTAATTATGATGATGACAGAGATATTATAATACTTGATGATTTTAAAAGAAAATTTTCATACAATGAAATTGTATAAAACTTTTACAAACATAGACACTTAAAAACGATGAATTATTTTTGGTTGTGTTAAAGATAACTGATATTTAGTTCCTAGATATGTTTTTGTATACATCTGCATATCTGTCTTCACTTATGAAAGAGATGAACAAAACAAAGTAACAAATCCATACTCTAACGCTTCCTAACCTCTCTCACTCACGGCTGCTGTGCTGCCGGACAGAGCGTGCCTCCCTCTGCAGCCTGCCGTCTTACCAGACTGCCCCGCAGGAGAGGAACGTAGGTAGTTTGCAGTTTAAGGTCCTTTTCTGAACTGAGTGCAGCTAGGGAGGGAATCTTTCACATTTTTCTACCCCTTCCTGTTCTGACTGTGTTATATAGGCTGCCTAAAATGAGGCTCATGAATAAATTGATTAAATATTTTAAATAAATAATAATGTCTTAATCATAGCATTTTCCCTTTCTCAATTTCTTCAACAAAAGCAAAGACCTACTACTTATAATACTTCAGTGATAATTAACAATTGACTATGCTACTAAGAAAAGTCTTTTAATATATAGTATTTTATTGGGAACATATTTATAATGCCAGACTATAGAATTAGCTAAGAAAGTCCACACATTCAGAAGAGTACTAGATTCTAAGGCTATCTAAATTACTTTAAATAAGGAAAAGGTTTATCTAACGTTTTAAACATAAGACAGTAAGATTAAGAACAATTAATAAAATTCTTAGTCAAGCCAAGTAAAGTGTGGCAAGCTAATACACACACAGTTACCCATCAAATACAAACAAAGAATACAATAATGAGAGCTAGAGTTTAACTCCTTACATGCCAAACATTTAGAGCCACCTGCATATTACACAATATCTTAGTTTTTTCACCTTTGTTCTGTTCAAAATGAGCTCTAGAGAATATTTTTAGTTCAGCTCCAAGGCAATCAAGTTATTAAAAAAAACATTATACATGAAATTTAGATTCCTGCCACTGAAGTTATTATTAAGGAGCAAGTAGGACACAGTCAAGTAGAATGATACACTATTAAAATAAATTTAAAATACAAATTTTGCATTTTGTCAGTACTAATGTAGAAAGAGGACTTTTACTCACTTATTACAATTTATTTTTCTTGATGAAGAGCTTCAATAAAAGCATCAAGTTTTTCTTGAATTTCTCTAACTTTCTCTGTGGAGATAATAAATTAAAAACAAATTTACCTTTCAAAGGCATCACAAATCATAGAAGATAATCATTCAATACATAGTCTGGGATACCTTAACTATTTGGAAAAGGAGAAAAAAAAATGAACTTAGTACCACACACCGCTTTATATCCAAATAAAGTTCAAATGAACTGCAGTAGTAGCTTTTAACATTTTTTGGAAGGGGGAGGAGAGTGGGGTTTATGACAGACCCTTCTGAGATTCTAATAAAAGTTATGGAATCTTACACAGAAAAATAATTTATTAATTATATAAATAAATATATACAATTCTGTATAGAATTTTAAGAAGTTCTCAGATTCTCTGGAGTCCAACCAAGGACTCACAATTAGTAATATATGGACCAAAGAAAAAATATAAAATAATTAAGTTATTTTTAAAAATTAAAAGAGAATATAAGTATTTAACTGGACTTGGACTGGAAAATTACTTTCTAGGTATAAAGTAATGGAAGCGTTACAAAAAAAAGATTAATATGAATGACCACATTAAAATGTACACTTTATATGTCAAAATGTCCTAAAATTATAAGACTAAAAAAATTGTAGAAAATATTTCCAACAAACATAAAACGGGTATTAAACTTTAAAATAAATACAGACATGTTCTTTTCTAGTTGTGAATAAAGAAAGGGCTAAAAACACCAGCGCCACTAAAGACAGATTTACATGATTTTATCTGATTTTAGGTTTTCATGTTTATAGACTTCCAAAATAAAATCTACAATTTCTCTCTGAAGTGTCAAGACTTCCTTCACAAATGCAAACTGTTCACAGTACATGTCAATCTCCCAGCATTACATATGGAAAAGTTGTGATGTATTCTACTTCATTGCTAACGTAATCACGCAACTCTTATTTAAAAATTTTTTTTCTTTATTAATTTTAGAGCGAGAGGAAGGGAGAGGGAAAGAGACAGAAACATCGATGAGAGAGAACGTCGACTGGCCGCCTCCTGCATGCCCCTACTGGGGATCGGGCCCACAACCTGGGCATGTGCCCTGACCAGGAATTGAACCGGTGACCTCCTTGTGCGTGGGTCGACGCTCAACCAGTGAGCCACACCAGCTGGGCAAATTTTTTTTTTTCTTTATTGATTTTAGATAGAGAGGAAGGGAGAGGGGGAGAGAGAGAGAGAAACATCGATGAGAGAGAACATGCATGCCTCCTGCAAGCTCCCTCCTGGGGATTCGGCCCACAACCTGGGCATGTGTCCTGACTAGGAATCAAACCAGCGACCTCTTGGTTCATGGGTCAATGCTCAAACACTGAACCACACCGGCCGGGCATGTAACTCTTATTTTAAAATATAGGTTATAGTAGGCATAGCAACAAATATTTTTGTCCTTTTAATGCAATTTAACCTATTAGTGGGTTAACAACTGGTGACTGGTTCAAAGCCAATGATGTAAAGAAAAAGATGCAGATCATTCTACTTTATATCTATAGAAAAAAATCATATAAGATACATTAATATTCAACATTAACATCTTTTACATTAAAAATATAAGTATCCCTTTTTACCAGTGAGAGAGCACTTGTGATGAGGAGCCTATAAAAAAAAAAATGGTCCTTTTTATGACATCTTATTAGCATTACAGGAACTCAACAAAGCCTATCATGGTTGCATATAAAGAACACAATGTCTTCATATTCTTTTCCCAGTAATTTAACAGTTCTAATTCCTGGTATTTTGAGACTAACACAAAATCTATAGAAAAACAAACCCTATTTTTTTAAGTCAAATTATTCAATGAGAAAATATGATAATGGTTTTCATAAAGGCAGCATTAACTCCATATATAAAAGTTAAAGTAGACAAATTAAAAGAAAACAAAATCCCAACCTATCTCGTGAAAGTTTAGTCTGTACTTTTTCTTAGTCTGTATTATTTTTTAACTGGCAGTCAAACAGTAAACATACTTCCTTTCTCAAAATAAGGCCACATTCTTATTTTTGAGATTAATTCATCTAGTTGCTTAGAAACAGCTTCACAGATTTTCCTCAATGAATACTTCGAGTTCCACATAGTTCGTCAGTTGAAGAATGTAAAAAAGGCGGGGAGGGTGGGAGCTAAAAAAAAGAGTTTTCTAAATTGTCTCATAGAATTCTGGAAATGCATGAAAGCTTTAAAAAAATCATCTACTTAAAGAGCACAACACATGGAAATCGAAAAGAGGCGTTTAGAACCCCAGCAGCTCCTCTAAACATTTACTGCGAACTACTCTACTTGGGAAAGCTGTACTGCATGAGAGGAAACGTGATTCTATTTGCTCCACGATCTCAGCACAATGAGGCAGCTGCAGGGCCAGCTCTGTCCATCCCTCTGCCCTGTCAATGACCTCCATCCTCAGGGGACAGACTATCTGCGAGCGGGTGGTACAGTAGCATCACTCACAAGGGACTTTCAGAGCAAGATCTCTTTGTATGGAAAGAGACCAAGAGCCGCTTGGACCGCAGGTGTCTAAATCAAATTCAAATTCTTCCGAAACTAGAGATGAGCTGTGTTGCTTTCTAAATGAAAGTAAACGGAGTATTTAATTAACTATTATATAAACATCAGAAGTAAAAAAATTCCAAATTTCCCATAAAAAGCTGTTTTTACAAATATTTTACAATTAGAATAGCAGGACCTATCACCATGCCCTGAACCTCACCACGAAGGACAACTAGGAAGTAATGGGGAGGGAGAGAGAGGGAGTGGAGAGAAGATGGAGTAAATGTTAAAAAAAAAAAAGGAATAATTGTGATAAAAGTCTCTTTTTAACACTAAATAAAAAATTCACTTCTTTGTTTATTCTTTCATGCACACACCGTCCTTAGCGGAGCGATGTGGAGGCACGGAGGACCTTCTGCCTTGGGGAGTTCCTTGCCGACTTCCACCCTCATTCCAAGTCTATGATGCATCTGCTATGTTTTGGGTGATTTCGACTCCCACACTTGACTTGGTCCTCACACAACTCTGCAGGCATCGGTGCCAAGGGTGAGGACAGTGAGTCTGGAGAGCTGCCTGTCCGCGTCCCTCTGATCCAGAAACACACACTGGACCTGTGCCATACGCACACTCGAAGTGGTCACAGCAAATGATATTATTTCCAGTGTGGTGTTATATGTTTTATCTTTTATGTGAAATAGGACATGTTTTGGTAAAAATTAGAGAATCAAATAGTTGCCGAGCACCTCCTAGGTTGTGCTATGGCTAGGGATGAGTAAAAAATAGCTAATACATTATTATCCTCTGATAAAGATTACACCTCTTGAGCAGACTAGATCTATACACATTTGGAGAAACCCTTGAGAACAATGAATATGAAACTGGACCAAAAATATTCAGCACCTTCAGTTTCTACAACAATGTCTGACTCAGTATACATGTTCAATAAATACTTGAAAAATGATAAAGTTCCCCAAAATATAGCATAGAAAATAAGGGCTGTAGGTTATCAAGAAGAAAAACAAAACAAACAAAAGAACAACTTGAAAGGCTTCCTGGATGTTACACCAGTGACCCAGAGGGCAGAAGCCAGGACCACAAGAGCTGCGGCAAGCCTGGAACAGGAGGCAAGGTACGCAGGGACCATGAAGATCAAGGCAGGCTGGTGGGTCACCTGAACCACAGAAGCAACATGGAACAGAATCCTCAGGTCTCAAAACACAATACCAGTGGAGAAAGAAACTTCAAATTAATTATTGCACCTTATTAAGAAGGCTAAAATATGCCCCCCCCCCCCCAAACACACACAGCTTTAGAAGGAAAACTAATTTCGGGCTTTATAAGAAAGCTATATTACAAATAATAAGCATCATTATTCCCTATATTTGAATTCATTCATCTTAAGTTCTGATGTAAGTTTTCAGCACTGTCTTATATTCCTAACTATGCCATCCACTGCACAGAAAACTGAATTATCCATAAAAATCAAGGTTGAATGTTAACAACTAAAACTTTCTACTTTCTGATCCTTCCAAATTAATGTCCCAGTTATAACAGTGTTTTCAAATCCCCACATCTCATTGTATTTAACTGTTTCACCATTAGAAATTACTTTCCCACAGAAATGTGTATAGATTACCATGACTAATTATAAAGCAAACTCCCTTTTCTGTTAAATGTTTGCATTAAATGTTTACAGCTAGAGAATTCCTGTAAAATTTGTGATTTACTTGATAAATTAAGCCAACTCAGGAAGACATTAACATACTGCTATTTCTGTTGCACTGCAACAGCCAAGTCTACATGGAGTGACTACTGAGTCTACTTTCCATTTACCCAATGTTTACTTAAAAGATGAACTATTTCAAACATCAATTCATTGTCCTTCTTGATTGAGTCATGAATATTCCCATAATCCCCAACTCATAAACCATCAGTCTCAGTGAATGAAGTTCCTTCTTTTTTCTTTTCTTCAGATGACTTGACACTCATTCATGGTTTGGGGCTCTTTATCTCCACATGAAATGATACTGCTACTCTCAAATTCTTTTTGAGTCTTCTGATACTCGCTCTAAAAGTCTCAAATATAGACTAATCTGTAATTAGGTTTTGAATACACTGTGAATACCAAAGGCCAAACCCGGGAGAAGGTTCACGTCAGTGGTTAATAACAGTTTAGAACAGGAACAAAGAATCACACACAACACACTACTACATGCACTAAAATAAACCTTTTACAACTTCTGATGTTTTTAAAAACATAAAGAAATATGCTGCAAACTTACTGATGCAGTGGACCTGAAGCAAACCACACATCCGAAGATCCTAACGTGCCTTAACAGAACTGTTTTATAATATGCTGCACACACACTTTGTACCAAGCTGGAGGACACCTTGTAGGTGAGATTCTGCTGTAAAAAGCTGTTCACTAAAGCACTGAAAACTAAAGGAACATTTCTTATTATGTACTACACACTGTTCCTGACAAGGCTTGCTTTTCATTAGACAATTATACTATAAGTGATCTTTA